GCCGAGTGCCACCTTGCCCTACCACAGCAAGAAGGCATGTTCCACCTAGAGTGCACCTGAGCCTGGGTTACTCATTATTGCTGACATCTAAGTATCCAGGCAGGGATTAAAAAGCAAGAACATGGAAACACCGACCTTTATGTTGAATCGTAAAGATGAAATGCTGACTGGAGGGACTGCTTCGGTCTTTTTGTGTATTTTTTTTCTGTGTATACTGGAAAATAAGAGCTGCATTTGCACAGAATCAATACGTCATAAACTGAAACAGAGCAGAGGGCAATTTAAAAATGGATGTGCTATTGTTAATGCCTTTAACACCAGTAACACCTGCTGTTCATTTGAGAATGAACAATTATGTGCCCTAAAGCTGTGCTATTATAAATGTGACAGTATTCATGGACACACTCATTTTAGGGCTCAGAATACACCTTCCTTTTTATATAATGCAACCCTTCTTTGCCAAGGAGATTTTCACTTGTGCAATTTTCTTCTTGAAGGTTACATTTACAGTAGTAGTAATTTATGCAAAAGAATCAATTTCAGATTTCATTCATTTAAATTACACTCCCCTGCACTGTGCATATGAAGGAAATGAAGAAGCAGACTAATGTTTCTGCTAAGAAATAAAATTAACCCCATAAGAAACATTTCCAGCAGAGGAAACAACATGGATTTTCTTGCCAAAATTTCCACCACACTGTGAGGTATAATGTTATATTAATGAGCAGAATATTCTGTGTCCATCCATCAACAGTAATGCGGCTCCACAGCATTTTCTTGGAGATTTTTCCCTAAAAACAGAATCCCAAAGAAAGATTGCTGTTTAATTGACATAATGGATCTTTTTAACGACTGTGTCTAGATACCTGTGGAGGTGAAAGAACCGATAAATTTGAAATGCCTTAGCCTGTCTGAAAACCAATTCAATATCTTTCCAAAGGAAATCTTTCTCCTGGGGCCATTAGAGAGATTATACCTGGGACATGATAAAGGAATTACATTCACAAGCCTGCCAGAAGACATCAGCAAATTGCAGGTAGGAGCAATGGAGGGAGGAAGATCTTGGTCTGCTGCAGCATGGCACTTCCATGGACTTCAGCTGCTCCCAAATGAAGGACTGAAGGTTCTCCTAATCTCTTTAGTACATGGTACAGCATCAGGCCAGGGCTGTCAGAATAGGAATAATATCAAAACTCAGTGTTTGAAACTCACATTGTCTCTCTGTGTTTAGCAGTCATCCCAAGGGTAGCTCAGTTTATAAACATTACTTCTGCATGTACTGATATTCTCTGTATATTGATTACATACCAAGCTAAGGAAAAATCATTTATTTATTAAAAGTTATGCACACATATTTTCCAGAATCTGAAAGCACTGCATATGGAGAATAACTGTCTGGACTACCTGCCCGCAGCCATCAGCTCATTGACTCACTTGATAATTCTTGATTGTCACGATAATCTCCTTAAACAGCTTCCAGACTCTGTATGCCAAATACGAGGTGAAAAATAGTCTCTGTGTTTGTGGCCTGAAGGACACAAGTATCAGTAAGCATTCTGGAAGAAGGAGGGAGAGAAGGGAAGGAAGGAATGCAGTGCATCATTCAGGGCTCATCCTGTACTTGTGAGAGAGACAAATAGGATAAAAATTAGGAACTGGGAGGGTGGAGGAAGCACTGTGCCCGAGCCAAGTGGACAGGAGGGCCTCCCCCATGACCATCTCAACCTCAATAGTCCAAGGAAAAGGGTGTTTCCCAGAGCTCAGCTCCAAGCAGAGCCCCTGATGTGAGAAGACTGGCTGTGTCAGCACCAGTGACTCCAGGGGGGTGGTGAGGAGCCAGCTCTCTGAGGGTGCTCCCCAGCCCAGTCTTTCCATCTTCCTCAGTTCATTGCATTTCTGGGTGGCTTAGTTCACTAGTGCTGTTGGTGTGCCAATTAGCAGAACTTTTGAAAGCTGGATTGGCTGCCAGGAGAATAGTTGTCACCTAGTGAAGTAAATGCTTTGCGAGAACCTGAGTCCCATCCTTCTATATTTGGGGGCAGACACTCTGAATTTTAAATGCTCTGGTGAGATGTTCAATACACACATTCATTACATGCACGGTTTGTCCCTCATCCATGTGCTGTTCATGGGGAGCATGCAGGAAGGCTCCCCACCATTCCTGTTCTTTGGGCTGCAGCTGTTTGCTTTTGTGTGTTCAGGTTTGCAAAACTGCTCATTCAGAACAATCACCTGTCCCAGCTGCCCAAGGATTTGGACAGTCTTCAGCAGCTGGAGCTGGTCCTTGGGGATGGGAACCCTATGAGGGACCTCCGACTGAAGAGTGCTGTCAGGGGACACCTGCCATCTGGGAATACTTAGAGGAAAAGAGACATAAAGAGGCCATGAACTTAAAGGTAGGGGTGTTAAGAAAGCCACTGCAATACACATACAAAGCTGTGGTTTTAGTAACAGATACCGTGCAGAACAACCTACAGGGCCCTCTATGCAACATGAAAAATGTCTTAGACCACTGTTTGGATCAGCTACAGCAGAGCAGTAATTCTGTCACTGATCATATTAAGGTAGGATAGAGGGAACCATCAGGAAATACAGCACCAGGCATCATTCAAAAGCGTTCCAGAGGGTTGTCACTGTCCCGTCAGGTCACAGTCAGCAGGCACAGAACAGCCCTTAACAACTTGCAATAGAGCTTTCCTTAATTCCTTGTCCAGTGGAAGGGGAATGGTTAGTGTGCCTAAAAACAAGCTAGATCCTCTAAGTCAAGGCATTGCTTATAGATGAAACTAACTGCAGGTGGCATTTTCCACTCTTGCTGGCTGTATTTTGACTGTAGAGAGCTGAAGATCCATCCTGCAAACACACTGAACAAAACACATTTTGCGTGTGGTTTTGTTTGGTTTTTTCCCCAAAAGAACATCAGTCTGTACCACCAGAAGGCCATGGAATTAATTTGCTCAGAAAAAATATAGGGCAAGAAGGAAGGAACGGCAAATCCTAAAGTCTTTGATTCTTCTGAACCTAAATTATTCCTCTCTTTCTGTAATGTCTGTCATTTCTTTACAAACTAATGTGTTTCTCCCAAGTTGTTCTTCTGAACTAAAAGGTGACATTTAAAGATGTGTAGACATAGTCATTTCCTGGTCTAATCAAAGGGTCTGGAGGACTACGGTGTTAGTGTCCTCCCTGGTAAGAAATTTCTCTTGGAAAAAATAACAAATGGAGTAAAAGAAGTCGGGTGGCTGGCAGTCTATCTTAGCTGAAAGCAATCAAATACAGAATAAAAGGGGATTTGGGAGACCACGATGTGCCTGGCTTTTTGCATCGAGAGTATCCACCAGTAATACTGTTCCACATGACTCTTTGCTTTTACCCTTTTCCTCCAGGTAACCAGATTGTTCTTCTCTCTTTTTCAGATCCAAGGTTTGTGGTGTAGGTTGATGAACCAGAGGGGGACTGGACCTTTCTTGACACTCAAGAATCTAATGAAAAACAGAAAGAAGGAAAAGAAAGAAAAAGGAAGGGGAAAAGAGAAGCCTGTAAAAGGATCAGAAGCCAAAAATTGATATTTGGGCAGTAAACTGCACAGAGCTCTTCATTTACATGGGCAAATGTGAGCAGGGATACGCAAGTAGGAGACAAGCAGTATTAAAGTATTTGAATCAGTGAGTGTTACCATGAAAACTGGTGATTTTTTGAGGTTTGTTTCTGTGTTTTTGTCAACATCGACTCCAGCTGAATCAGGCAGATTCTGAAATATTCTTGAGATGTCTCATTCTGAGTGTATGTTATCTCAAAGCATAAAGTCAGCTGATTAACTGAAAATCAATCTAATCTATAGGAATCTAGTGCAATGACTTCCTCTTTGTTCCGAATCCCGAAGTATTTTTCACACAATTCTTAGAAATCTGTTTTCTAGTCAGTGAGGTACAGCCATATCTAGAGTGAAACAATATTCGTGGACCCACCTACTAGCAGTTATTTGATGAGTTTTACATTCAGAAATGATCAATACCTTGTTTGGAAATACGGAGGAGGCTTCCAGGTGCTCAGAACATATGCGCTTCTACCAGAACCTGCATTACCATTATGTCTTACAGAAGTGTAAAAAGCTGTTTTGTATCTCTACACTTCTGCAAAACTGTTCACTGATGTTTTGACAGTCTGTAGTTACAGTATTTTGAATGACTGCAAGCTGTCAGATCCTTAGTGTTATAGCTCAGCTCCAAGATAGCTTGCTGACAGTTTGTAAAATGCCTACGTACAACAGGCTTACTTGAAAGCAGAGCATCTGCAGAATGCAATATTCTGCAATGATTCTAGGTCCTGGCACATCATAGCACTTTTGTCATTCGAAAGAACAACAACAAACACTCCTCACTAATTCTAGCACGCCAAATTTATATGCAACCTTGTCTTTCCACAGCACTTTACAGAGAGCTGTTTGTCCTAGGTATCTGATGTCCTAATTTTTATTCTGTATTGCTCAGTTACTCCTTAAACCCCTCCAGAGATTTATTTGCAGCGTACGTAAAGCACAGAGCTGGACTGGGACCAGCCACTGTGCAGATTCAAAATGCATGAGCGGGTGGGAGCAGAACCCTTTACTGAGTTTAACTGGCTGGTCAGAACTGGAGTCCTGCTCTCCCTCCCCTTGTCTGAGCTGCCTCAAGAGAAGGCGGTGACATCCTGAAGGAGGTTGGTGAAGGCAGGGACACCAGACCCAGCTCTTCCTAGAGCTCCACCTCCAGGTAGTGCTCTCCGGATGCTGCGGCTACAGCTGCACCCAGGGTATGGATCTTATTTCTGTTTGGCTCTTGGACTGATTGATAATGAAATCTCATTAATATGCTTGTTGGCAGGAGAGAGCTGGCAGTGCCAGAAAAGTGGGATGGCTCAGCTTTGGTTTTCAATTTTACTACGTAACTGATCCTGTTTTGATTGGAGGTGTCTTGTGAAATTTTTTTACCCTAAGTGAAGGCAAGGAGAAACAGAGAGAAGGATGATTCAGAGACTACAGAGGAGGAAATCACTGGAAGAGAGAGATTTCCAGGAAGATTGGCGGATAGACAGGATGTTTAATAGAAGTGATTTAATAAAAGCTTTTTAGTGGCACAATAGGTATGACAGAATCATGAGAGAGCAACGGACTGAGAAGGGGATCATGAACAGCACATGGAGAGGTTGCTAGCAGAGAATCCGTACTGTGCTCTGGAGCTGAGAATGAGGAACCCAACTATGACAAAGCAAGAAACCCCAACATTGAAGTCCAGTCAGTAAGATTACAACAGATACCAGACATTAAACATGGGCCAGCTGCTTTACTGAATTAGGCAGAGAGGTTCAAGAGGGAAAGGAGCGATTCAGAGAGATTCCCACAGAACAGATAAAGGATCAGTCTCCCAATTGGACCAAAGGCAGATTTGAGGAGGAAGGCAAACGATTAAGAGAAGAGGTTGGTGTGCTGTTGTTAAACAGAGATGATGGTACTTCCACATTAGAATAACTCTCCTGGCTTGAGTCACTGCTTGAAAGTTTCTCTTGTTACCCTGGTATGAAACAGGGGCTCTCTGCTTCATTTCAGAGGTTGCGGATCTCTGTAGAAAATAACTGATCCCATACTGCAGCAATTCCCTGCTACCTCTGACCAAGACACTCCAGTTCATCTCACATTTCTCAGGCTGGGGGAGCCAAGTGCACTTTTCAAGTGGAATTGAAACTGGAACCAAGAAGTCCATAGAGACCCTCACATAAATTATCGAGAGGTATCAGCACAGCATGGTCAGCTGCTGGTTATAACCCTAACCCCAGTTGGAAGGGTCACCCGGACTGAAAGCTGAATATTGATCTGCATCTCCATGGGAGAACTTGCTGAGAGGGCTCCTAGCAAGTTAGGAAAGTGCCACTGAACGATCCTGTTGTGCCTCTCCTCCAGGAGATTGCTGCAGCATGTAGATATACTCAGGGCTAATTGAGCAGTACTTTATCCCTCAAGCTGCCTCAGGATTTCTCTAAGACTCCTCACTCAGTGGGCAGATCTAATATCTTTACTTCCTAAAATACCTTACCAATGAATAATCCCACTGCAGTCTTTGAGCTCACGTGTGGGTTAACATGCTCCATGGCGACTATGCCAGAATTTGGCTCTGTGTAACCAAATACAATAAAATACCAAATAAGAAATTATCAAATGAAAAAAGGAGGATCCACTTACATGTCCCAAGTTGGTGCTTTTTCTAACAAGTCTTGGGCACAGATCAGGGTGCTCTGCTCTTAGCTAGAAGCTGCCCTGTGGCTCTGAATAATAGACTTTGTTTATTTCCTTCATCTTTAGGGTAAGGATAAGAACACTATCTATGTTCACAAGGTGTTATGAAGGTTAATGGATTAATCCTGAATGCAGGAACCATGAAGGCACTGCAGGGACTCCCATGGGCTTTCACAGGCTCTAGATGAGACTCTTAGGTCTGGAAGTTTGGGTTTGTGCTGCATGTCATAAAAGGGTCTGTACAGAAAGCACAGTCTGGGTAAGGCTGAAACAGCTCAAGATGAGAAGGAGCATCCCTGAAATATCCTGAAGTCTTTGCATAGCCTTATCCAGAATGCTTATGGATTGTTCTGTATCCAAAATCGTTGCTAAAGAAGCGGGACATATCTCTGATTTAACCTGCCACAGCATTTCCCTTGCCCCTGGGACCTGCAAAGACACCATTCAACTGTTTCTTACCTTGATTTTATGCTGATTCTGTATACAGAAGTAATTTACATTACAACATAGCATCAAGGGACAGAGCAGAGGCAGAACAGCTCCTTCTGTATTCTCCTTACTGTACTAATATATAATCCTGAGTTGTTGGGATGCTTTCCAAATCTCACAATTATGTAGATTTAATGCATTCACAAGGAGGCAAAAGTTTTGTGGGAGAAGAAACTAAAATTTAAAACAGAGGTTTCAAGTATTTTCACATTAGAGGCATTTTCCTTCTATACATGAGGCCACATTCACACTGCCCACCCACCTGTGTTAGCACACACCCCAGCCACTTCCCTCCATTGGCAAACCTGCAGTATGTCCATCTGAAATCATCACTGCTCTTTGGACAGTGGTCATTGCTGTATTCACAACATGAAGATTAAGCATATATAGTAGCATCAGCACAGCAGTGTAAGCATGGCCCAGAGAATCTGAAAGAATATGTTACTAAATTGAATGATCTATGCATGTAGAAGGTTAAATAATGGAGTTTATATAATTATGGAACTATTTCAAGAGCTCTTATGAGATGAGATTACTAAAAACTGGGCAGTCTTCTAAGTCAGAGATGCATAATACTTGGTTCATATGCTGCTTGTCAAAGGCCTTCCAGAAATCTTCAACCTCCATCAACAGTCAAAGCGAATGTTTCTTTTGTTGTCTTGATTAAAGCTTTCCAGTTGTTTCCGCTGCGATTCTGAAAGGACCCATCTTTGCATGCCCAGCTCTGCCAAGGCAGGAAGCTTTGTCAGTGCTGCTAACAACTCGCTGAACCACGTCCCACAGTCACGGCAGGACGATGGGCGAAGACTGACATCCAGCTCTGAGAGTTCTTTGAATACTGCTAAGCCTTGACAGAAAATGACCCACCCTTCATCAGAGATGTTGTTATTATAACTCAAATCCAGCTTCTGTAATCTGGCTAGATGGCCATCCTGTGTCAGTAACACTGCAAGAAATGACAGACACAAACACAACTAATACATCCTGGCAATTGCTTTAAAGGCTTTTTAAATAACACCATATTATTTAGGGCCTTTCAGCAGTCAAACAGCAAGATTCAATTCCTCAGCAACATAAAATCACTTGCTGTTGATCTCAGAAAGATCATTTTATCACAGCTGAAGGAGTGTACAACATTTAAAACAGGCAATTCAAAAGGAACAGGAGTATGCAGTTAAAACTGCATGGCAACCTGAAAAGCTTTGAGTCAGTTGGAAGGAGGTTATATCAAGTGCCAATCAAAATAGGCAGAGAGGCTTTACAGGGAGATTCAGAAAGAGGAAAGCAAAACTAGATGAGGTTGCATGATTACAACAGCCACCTCTCACTGTGGGAGGGTAATGGGCCTAATATATCCTAAAGGGAACTGGGATCCTTCGTGTATGATTGGCAAAGGAGACACCCACCGAGGGCGATGTTTGTAAAGTCAAAAATATTCAGGCTTCATCTCAGCCTTCAGACTACAGGGCCGTAATAGGCGTCACACAGCTATTGCCAATCTCAGATACTCAAAACCCGTGAGTCAGGACCACAGAATCACAAGGATGATTATAAAATAAACAGGCTTTTAAAAGGATCCTAGAATTTATTCCTTCATTGGGTTCCTATTTTCCAGTATTTCTCAGCAGCTGCTAAGAGGTGGGCTAAAATATTTCTGGTTTAATTCACTCATAATAGTTTGACTCCAGAAACACCCCTAACGGACTGAGAGCTGGTAGTGCCTGATTTACCAGCTGTCAGCACGTACATTTCCCATAAATTTCTGAACCCAAAGCCAGCAACCAAGCAAAATAAAACTCCTCAGAGGCA